AACCCATTGTAAATTTTACTATGTACATTCTTAAAATTTGGTGGTACATTTTAAGAATTTCGCAGGCCCCTGCACAGTGGTTGAAAATTACTGTTTTAAACTAATATCACAACAAACTCTTTTATCAACAAAATTTTTACCTGACACTTTTAAAAATATGACATTAAAATTTCATAACTATCTTCTAAAGCAACCCCCCCTCAAGTTCCTTAATGCTGTTTATTGAAACCTAAAAATTTATTGCAGAATTACTCAAGTTCCTAAAACTGTTGCTCTATAAAGATTGGCGTTAATTAGCTCTTGTAAAGGGCAAGCAGGAACTAAATCTTTTTATGTTCTAAGTGTCAACCTATTAGAGTTCAAGTCTTCAACATCTAGCGGATTGAGCAGCTTTGGATTTTTTTTTTTTGTTGATGCAATAAATTATTTTAAGTTACTCTGTAATTAGATAGGGTTCACATAATTGTTTGTAGTTTGCTTTATTACCGTTCTGTTAAGGTTGAAAATAAAAATAAAAAGTGTTACATTTTATTTTGTGTTTTGAATAATACAAGATTAAATTTTTGGAATGTGAACTTGTATTAAGAGAAGTTCTTTTTATATCTACACTGCTAATATTATTTTCTACAGCAGTTAAAAGTTCATGTAGATGGAATGTGTGAAAGCAAAGAATTACTATAATTTTGAATTTTAGCTTGTATTTTGACATGTCAGTACTAAGTTGCCCTCACATGTGTTAAGCAGTAAAGTTACCAAAATTTTGTGTTACTGAGTTTAAACAGTTTATTTTGATGTGAAATTATGAGATGTTTATAATTTGCAATTGAATGCATTTAGAGAAAAAAATTAGAATTTCTGAGTATCATGTTGTTAAATGGATTTGTTTTGATATTTCTGAGAATAAAAAAAATTTTATCTCCGAATGCATACATCAAAAGGTAAAAATTTTTTATACGCTGAATGTTATTGTATCATCAGAAATCCTCAAGTTTAAATCATTTATAATAGAATGCATAGTAGATATATGATAGTGTGAATTGTCTTGCTATTTTGATTTAAATTAATTAAACCAGATCAAGCGAAGTTGGGGAAGGATAAGGATTAAATTTTTCTTTTGATATTTGGGAATTTATTATTTTTTTTTATCACTAGATGTTGTTATATTTCAATTGTATCATGAAATTCATAGCAAAAGCCAAAAAAAGAGGATCTTAAAATTTTGGCTGAAGAATAAGGCGAAAAAGGTCGGTTTCGAGCTTAGGATAATGGATCTAAGGCAGCTCGTTGCAAGTAACAAAGCCTACAAAGAACTTATGAAAACTCTGTTGGGAAATTTCACTTCAGTAAGGCTTGATGGGGAGAAAAAAGAATATGGATTGGATTTGAAAGGGAACAAGAGAGCATGCTGGGACAGAGAAGAGAAATCCAGTATGACCGAGGAATAAGCAATTTAAATTCTTTTAGCATTGTGGTATTAAATTTAAACATAGTTCATTACACCATCTGCAGCCAGTCTGGTAGAGATATTTCACTTTAATATGAAAAGAATATCATGAGTTTTATGTCTGAAGGCTGGTTTATTATGGGAGCAAGTGTTATTTTCTGCTTTTTTGGCCCAAAGGACTATGATGAATGAAAGCAGGGGTTTTACACCTGCAGAATTATTCTGTGGAAAGTATTTACATATGCTAGAGTCATTGTTGTATGAACATTAGGATGTAGAGGAGGAGGAACAGCTAGTAACTGAGTATGTTTTCAGATTTATGAATTGCCTAAAAAACTGTCAAGAACTGTCTGTTGTTAAAATGCAAGACTAGCAGATCAAAAGGGGTAAATCATACTATAAAAAATGCTGTGAAATGGGAATTTAAGAAAGGTGATCATGCGTCAATTTTGACCACTTCCAGATCAAGCGAAGTTTCAATCTATTGGATAGGACCTGCAAAAGTTGAAAATAAATTGTCTGATTCAAATTACGTTTCAACCTTACCAAGGAAGAAAGATCCCAAATTTACTCGATCAATATGTTAAAATCTTATTATAAGAGACTTAAATCAATTAATTTTTTATTTTGTATTCAAAATGATTCTAACTAAATTAATATTGAAATAGGTTTTCAGTATATTGATACAAATTCATATGTTTACAATCATTCTGATGACATTAAAGGAAGTGCAGTACAAAGTCCCTGATCTGGAATCATTGGGACTTTGATTCTGGATTTTGAAAATTTCTGAATTTTAGATTGTTAGTTTAAATCTTGTAAAATGACATGTAGACATGGCAAGATCAGGGCTTCCCTTTTTGTTTAGGTCAGATGAAAAAATACTGACCTTTCTGTAGGACCTATGCTAAAAGAGGTGCAACTGGAGTGACTGTACTGGATGTCAGAATTTAGTAGAAACAAAATTTCTAGAATTTAGAGGAGCACCGAGCTGCAAAAATTAGATATGGCAAAAATTTTAGAATTTAGAGGAGTGCAGAGATTGAACCGGGGCAACAAAATATGTAATGCTGGCCCTGCCCAATATCAGTACATCATCAGGTCCATATTGCAACTCACTAGCCACCAGGCATTTGAAGGTGACATGGTGAAGTCTCAGTTAATTTGGAGAAAAATTGCATTTGTGGCATACTTCTTCCTTTTGTTATTATATTCTCCATTCATACACTTTCTAAAGTTTTTTTTTGGATTATTTTACTTATTTATTTATTTTGGCTGTGATCCATAGGTCTGGATATTAGAAAATTTTGGATACTGGACATCCAGACTTCAGACTTTGTATTGTAAATTTAGAAGAAAGATTAGAACCTCCATATAACTAGATCAATTACAGAAATCATTTAGTAAATATTCGCTAGGTTTTCGTATCGAGCCAGGAATGAATGTATAAAGCAAACTTATATTTTTGTAAATGTAGCTTATCATCATAGGTGGCCAGATAGCCCGGGCTAGTGCCTTTCTTTGAAGATTTCTTCTTAATACCTCTTTGGTTATCTTCAATTTCCGGCTTCTCTCATTTGTTAGAAAATCTGACTCCACTGAATCAGCCCATCTCAGCAGCTGTCTTCCCCCCTTTTAGTTTCTAGTGGCTTTCAAAAACAGTAATTTTTTTTAATAAGATTGTCATTTTGCATTCAGCTAATATGTTCCATCCAATTCATTTTGTTAATTTTTTACATATTTTAAGGCAGCAGGTTGTCTATATATCTCGCAAACCTAAAAACTTTCTTCCTCCAAATATTATTTTCATTCATACTCCAGCCAAGAATACTCCATAAAATTTTTCTTTCAAAAGTTGCAATGCGATTTTCCTCCAGTTTTGTCATTGCTCAGATCTCAGAAGTGTATGTCAAAGCAGCTCTAGCAAGCATTTTGTAAATCAAAACCTTCATTTTTCTTGAAAGAAATCTAGATTAAAAAACATTGCTTAACCCACAGAAAGTCTTATTTGTCTGGTATAGCCAATTCTGGATTTCAGGAGATAATCTGTTATCAATAGTAATAATAGATCCCAAATAGATAAAACTCTTTACATACTTCAATTTATAGTAGTCTGTTTCAAGTTGGGATATTTTTTTGAAAAGATATACATTTGACTTGCTGTCCTACCAAGAGAAGCCACTCCCAGAGAAATGCAGCTTATTTATTCCTCATATTTATTAACTGGCAGACTGTATAGTTAGTCTGTGTAGTTAAGTTTTAGTTGTTAGTATTTATTCCAATTTAATTGGCAACTGCAGTAACCACTATTTTAAATTAAAAAATAACTTAAAATTCTGTATGATTATCTATGTTTGTTGTTCTGCATTTATGTGTCATGTGTGTGATTCTAGAAAACATAATTTAGGAACTGTTTTGAACAAGCTTTGAAAATTCTTGCCAGTGAGGAGCAATTGCTATGACATTACAGCTTCTATTTATAGTTTTCATTTCTGTAAGAAAATGTGAATTAGAATCATGTGGTTTAAAATGTAGTGAACTTAAAAGGTGATTTGGTTTCACTTTCCTGAATTTATCAGTAGATTCATAGCTATTAAGCCACTGTCAGAGCTGTTGAAGCAGATTCTTAGTTATTTAAGCATATGAACATTTCAAACACCAATATTTGATCTGCCTATGCAAAACATATAGCATAGCATTGAATTTATAGTCACTTTATGTACTTTTTTATGTTTCATACATTTGAAATTTATCGCTCATAAGGATGGGTTCCATATTTAAATAAAAAGTAAAGTTAAAAATAATGTGTAGAAAGTAAATCTAAGCTCCAGGATTGAAAAACCGTCATTCGCTTAAAAAATAGTATGATAAAATGAAAATTGTAATCTGTCATCTAAAACAGTTAGATGATAATTAATTAATTAGTGATGCAGAATTTTGCATTTTAGTTACAATAATGGATACTGTTCTAGCGTCGAGACCAGATTCAGAAATGTATGAACATGTGTTTATATGTATATGCATAAATGTGTATATGTATGCTCACATGCATTCATACTTACATATAGCATGCATACATGAACACATACATGCATGCATACATGAGCACATACATGCATACATACGTATATTTCTGAACTCAGCCCTGATAACAGAACAGTACCCAATAATGTAGATGATTGATGAAATTTTGAAAAAAAGAAAATTCAAGATTGGAAAATGGTTATGTGCCTATATCTATTTATGGAAAGTTAAATGCTGATATTTGGAAACCTCTTAGTTTTTAGATTGTTGAAAAATTAATGTCCGAATGAGCTAGTGAGTGAGTGAGTGAGTGAGTTTTTTGGCGCAAAAACCAATGACCGAATGAGCTAGATTTGTTTTTAATTTAATGTTTTAAATCATCTGTTTAAAAAAAGTGTGAAGAAAGAGGGAGAGAAGAGCAATCATTATTTTATGTATTTCTTTCATTGAATTTATCATACTTTAAATTTTGTGTGTTAAAATAAATGCTTATCATAAAAATTGCATAGTAACTTCATTTTAAAATTTGAAGTGATGATGCAAACTGTCCCTTTCATCCTGGACTCAAAACTATTGTCTGCTACATCAAAAGGCACTACAAAGCAATCTGTTAAAAAAGCAAACTTTTACAGAAAAGTTTTTCCAAATGTATGTATTGATCATACTCTACCTAAAATTGGGAAAGAAGTTCGAGGCAGAAAACTGAAGCCTTTGGTGAGTCAGATGGACATTTTCTTCCTAAAGCAATATGTTGAAATTAACAAATAGTTAGTTTGTCAATGTTTTTAACACCTGAGAATTTGACTGATTGTGATGTTGAACTGGCTGAAAATATGGGATGATATTTAATGTAGAAGCATGTTTAAGTACCTGATTAATATTATGCATGTCTATACATTTTATGATTTATTTAAAAATCTAAACTAATAATTAAATTTTGAGCTAGATTAAAAGTGCAATAGAATCTGAATTTTACTTATCTTGAATTCAATAATTTTTGTTCTCCCACATTTTGAGTAAGAGCTATGCAAAAAAATCTTGATTTCAATTTGATCCCAATTGTAACAAGATATGCAAGAGTTCTAAATTTTTGAATTTTTTTATTGAATTTTACCTGAAAAAATAAGCTAATTTAGTAGTCATCTTTGAACTACATATGAGCTCCATTCATAAGCGGGTAGGAATTAGCCTTGCTTAAAATACTAAGATAGAGGAGTTGCTTTTCCCTGCAAAAACTGTAGAAGTGAACTACAGCTTCTAGATGTGAGAATAACATGACCATTTAAAGTGGAATATGGAAAATAATTAGTCAGTATTGAAAAGTTTGGAAATAAAATCTCAAATTATAATGCTCAAAGTTCTTGATGTGAAGTCTGTGGTTAGATATTTGTGAAATAAACTGGCATAAAAAAAAATCTATCAGTACTTGATTTACCAAATTCGAATTTGGATTACCATGGGAAATTAGGTTCAGTCTGTCTTTTCCAGTTTACCAGGTGTTTTAGAGAACTGTGAGGAAGAAGGATATTGTGAAGCAGTGGACTGATGTTTCACTGACCTGTTTTCATATTATGTGACTAGTGATTTTGATATATAAACTGATGATAACGAAACAGGTGGTGGATCCTTTGTTGCATATAAAGAGAAAAATCATATTTGTGAGTAATTTTCCTGATGGTATGTATTACAAACAACATAGTATTTAGTGTTTTCCCAAATCATTGGTGAAGGAATCAGAGAGATATCTTTGAAACAAAGTTGAATATGATATTTTTCTTCTAGAAATATTTTCTTACATAAAACATACTTTAAAAAATTCCATTGTTATGCTTTGTATATAAAATAGTGTTCATTTATTCATTTTATTGAGATCTGGATATTGATAAGAGGACATTCTTTTTGTGTTTCATTGTGTATTAGTATCTTTATTGTATTGTCTCTTGATTTAACACATTTTGTTGCTAGTTCTAAGTAATTCATTAAAACTACATTTAATTGTCCTTTATTTCATAGCATTACATATTGTAGAATGGTAGTAATAGTAACTGGGCTCAATATGACATAATAAACTGGAATATTGTATTTATTGATGAGCAAACGACAGTGTTTAGGATGGTCCATTTATTTCTCCCCAAAATTAATGAAAATTGTTTTCTTAAACATGGTAAAATATTGGAGTGAGTGAGTGATTATGGTGCAAAAACCAGAGATGATTATGACGCGCCAAACACAAGATGGGATGATTGCCATTGATGACATTAAAATTCAATAAATAAAAACAAGTAGATAAATATACCAAATCCAGAGGATGAAGTCATATAAACACAAGTTAAAAGCACACATTAAAATTCAAGACACAGTCTTCAAAACAAATTACATTCGATAATAAAAGCCAGTCTCTTTTAAATAATAAAATAAATTACAATTGACCTCTCTTCCGATTAAATGGTCGAGAGGTAAGTCACAGCTATTAAAATATTTCTGGCGAAGACTATTAAAACATGGACACTCAATTAAAATATGGCGAACAGATAAACAAACATTACAATTAGAACAGACAGGCTCATTTTCAGCTTTGAGAAGATAGTTATGTGTGACTCTAGTGTGACCAATTCTGAGACGAGTCAAAAGAACGTCCTCCTTACGATTTCCAGCAAAATCCCAATGTTCAATTCTAGGCTTGACGTTTCTCAACTTGTTGTGATGCTGAACATCCCAAATTTGCTGCCATTTTTTCCGCATCTTCCCCTTGATAACACAGCAGATGTCTCTAAAAGGAATAAGGAGGCTAGTGGACGGTTTCAACAGATATTTGGCTGCGATGTCTGCAAGCTCATTTCCCTTTATTCCTGCATGTCCAGGGACCCAGCAGTACAGAACTTCATATTCTCGAATTGTTAAATTTCTATGAATTTTGAGAACATCCACTACCACAGGATTCTGCGTGTTGGGGAAAGCTTCCAAGGATTTAAGAGCACTATACGAGTCTGTATAAACTATGAACTTTTTGTGGCAGAGCTTTGAGATGTGCAAAAGACCGTAATATATTGCAGTTAGTTCAGATGTTAGGACTGAGAAAGCATGGTGCAGGCATCGGCTCTCAATATAATCTTGAAATACAAAAGCCATCCCAACATGATCATTTGACTTTGATCCATCTGTGTATATCGGATGATAACTGCTATATTTGTGCCTGTGCTCAGCGAAGAGTTGTCTGTAAACGATCTCGTTAGTCCTCGCCTTTACGTGATGTTTAAAAACATCAAGAAGCTGGATCCGTGATTTTCCCAAGGTGGAATTTCAAAATTCTGTACTGCTTGGGGATGCATATCAGAGAGGGGAGAGTTCCTCAATGACAGGGCGAACTCTTAAAGGGAAAGTAGGAACACAGGATGGACGTGTTTCAAATAATGTGTTACACTCATTATCGAGTAAGTACAGCTTATTGGGATGTTCAGGTTGAGATAGAGTATTAAAATATTGCAAAAGGGACAATTGCTCACGCCTCAGATAAAGTGATGGTTCGTTAGAGTCAACATATAGGCTCTGCACAGGAGAAGTCCTGAAAGCTCCTGAACAAATCCGCAAACCCTGATGGTGAACAGGATCCAGTTTTAACAAAAACAGATGAGCGAGCGGATCCGTAAACAGCTGAGCCATAGTCCAGTCTAAAGCGGATAAGCGCTCTGTAAATGCGAAGCATGGAGCAATGCTCTGCACCCCAGGAGGTGTTCGCCAACACTTTTAAAATATTTAGTGTTTTGAGACACTTCTTTCTCAGGTTTAAAACATGAGAAAGGAAAGTCAATTTCTGGTCGAACGTCACTCCTAAAAATTTTACTTCGGGCGCAACTGGAATAATTGTACCATTTAGATATAACTGAGGTTCAGGATGGAGACCTCGCTTCCTACAAAAGTGCACGCACACAGTTTTCTGTTTCGAAAAAGTAAATCCCTGTTTGTCTGACCATTCTTGGATCTTATTCAGAGCCATCTGCAATTGCCTCTCTTTTGTTTCACAACACAACAAATGTCTGCAAAAGGGATGAGACGACTGGACAGTTCAACAGCACATTTGGCTGTGATATCTGCCAGCTCATTCCCTTTTATTTTCACATGCCCGGGAACCCAGCAGTACAGGATTTCATATCCTCGATTCATTAAGTTTATATGTATTTTGAGAATATCCACTATTACTGGATTTTGAGTATTAAGAAAGGCTTCTAATGATTTAAGAGCACTATACGAATCTGTATAAATTATAAACTTTTTGTAGCAGAGCCTTGAGATGTATAAAAGACTATAATATATCGCAGTTAGTTCAGATGTTAAGACAGGGAAATGATTGTGCAAGCGTCTGCCCTCCATGTGGTCTTTAATTACAAATGCCATCCCGACATGATCTTTTGACTTGGACCCATCTGTATAAACTGGAAGATAACTGCTATATTTGTTCCTGTGCTCAGCGAAGAGTTGTCTGTAAATAATCTCGTTAGTGCTTGCCTTCATATGATACTTAAAAACATCAAGAAGCTGAATCCGTGCATTTTCCCAAGGTGGGATTTCAAAATTCTGTACTGCTTGGGGGTGCATATCAGAGAGGGAAAGTTCCTCAATGACAGGGCGAACTCTTAAAAGAAAGGTAGGAACACAAGATGGACGTGTTTCAAATAACGCGTTACTCACATCATCAAGTAAGCACAGCTTATTGGGATGTTCAGGTTGGGATAGTATATTAAAATATTGCAAAAGGGACAATTGTTCACGCCTCAGATAAAGTGATGGTTCATTACAGTCAACATACAGGCTCTGGACAGGAGACAGAACTAGGTTGAGTGACTGGTTTAGCAGTAGAAGTTTCAGAACTAGGTTGAGTGACTGGTTTAGCAGTAGAAGTTTCAGAACTAGGTTGAGTTACAGGAGTGACTTGAGTGACAAGAGTTACCTCGAAATCTTTTATTAAGTAGATATGAGAAGCCATAGTGAAAGAATAAAGATTCGGGTCCGACGGCCCCGCCCACCATGGAGCCCAACAAGGGAACACAGATTCCTGTGTTAGGGCTAGCCGGACCTATACGCAAACTGAAGCCCCACAGTCGGCTTTCCCGAAAGCAGGTACTCCCGAGAGCTTGACCCCAAGCCACTGACACAAGGACTAGTGACCAGCCGATTGACACCTGTGAGGACGACTAAGGTGCCTCCCGTTTAGCTGAAGCAGAGGCCAAAGTAGTGTGTTGGGGACAGTAGTAAAATATTGGAAAGATTTCATATTTTTTTTAAAGTAGGAATCTTATTTTTATGGAAGCTATCTGTGTGATTCCTACTTATAGTGTCCTAGAGGTATAAGTAGACGAGATGTATACTCAGAGTATCCTAGAGGATTGACTGAAGCTTTTAGTGTTTGAAAGATGAAATTGGTAATGTAAAGAGTATTCCATTTGGGTATGGTTAGCATAAAAGCTGGAGTAATTTCTCACTGTACAGGATAAATGTTTCATAATTATAGCAACCAATTATGAAACGTAAATATTTTCAATAAAACTTCACAATTTTTGTTATGAAAGTAATTTAAATACAGCCTGAAGATTTTTTATTATTTTATTCTTGAGCTTTCTGTTACGCATTTTTAAAAAATATGCGTGAATCCGTTAACATACCACATTGCTTAAAATACGACATAATAAATTAGATTTGTAATAATATTATTCTATATT